ACATGTCAAACCTCTCTTGAAACAGACAGAATTGTTTATGCATTCATACATGAACTTTTCTGCATATCAAACCCCCCCAAAAAAAAAAAAGAATAAACAAAATATGGACTTTTCTACATAGCTTGTTGCCTGGGTGTGAGAATGTGAATATAAAAAGTCCCACATTGGAAAGTTGATAAACCTAGCAAAGGCTTATAAGAAGTTGAACTACTCCCTTAATTGCCAATTGGTTTTGGGGTGGAACATCAACTTCCTTCACTGGGAAGGATCCCTTAAGGACTTAATGGTACCAAAACCACTGCAGCTTGCAAAGGATGTAGGACATAGAGAACTACAGCTCCTTTTATTCATCCAACGGACTTCTTCAGGTCTCATTGATCTGCAGATCAACATAAAATCCCATGTCAATAACAAGTTAGCAAACCAACTTCAGGGAACTGCTGTGTAGTATGTCTAGCTTATAAACCAATAAAGTGGATGAAGGCAGAGCATATATATACCTCAAGAGTGCAAGTTGATTAATTGCATCTCTGAACCTGTAATAGTCATCAACTTTGTTGTAAATCTGATGACAAATTCGAGTTGATTAGTACTATCAACTTCATGCCTTGTTCTAACTTGTACAATATTTTCGCCCAATTAGTACTATCAGCTTACCATTTCCCATGCCTTAGTTTTTAATAAATATATCCACTGAAATTTTTACTCAAAATCATATCAGCTTGTTAACAAGTGCAGTCAATAGCTGAACTGATAGCATTTGTTGCAGCACTCGCATATAGTACCACACTGCTCAAAAAGACAGTTTAACTCTCACACTGCTCAAAGTGACAGTTAACACTCTATATTACAATTTCTTTTTTCTTTTTTCTTTTTTTCAGAACAGTTACAATTGCTTATTATAAAAATTTAAAGGAGAGAGAGTTGAGGGCATGTATTTTTAGGTCAGTGTTGTGTTCAAATGGAGTCCATTGGTGAGTGATTGTCTAAAACATCTCTGGAAATTACATTCATTGAAGCTGACAGACAATAGCTTATGTATTCATACACCAACATTTCGGCATATCAAACCGAAGGAAAAAAAAACCAGTTCATAAACTTTTTTGTATGGATTGTATGTGTTTCAACTAGCAAAGCATGTGGGAGACAGAGAACTATATGTATAGCTCCTTTTTATTTATCAAACGGATTTCTTCAGGCCTCATTGATCTGCAGATTAACATAAAAATCCCATGTCAATAACAAGTAAGCAAACCAAATTCAGGAAATTGCAGTGTGTAGTATGTCTAGGCTCTAGCTTACAAACCAATAAAGTGGATCAAGACAATATGTATACCTCAAGAGCGCAAGCCCGTCATGAACGAGTTGATTAATTGTATCTCTGAGCTTGTAATAGTCATCAACTTTGTTGTAAATCTGATGACAAATTCGAACATACCCCGTTGTCAACACAACCTCTCCATCTTTGGGAGCTTGATAATGTATCCTGACTTCAACACCAAATTTCTTGCGTAAATGTGCCCATAACTTCATAGCATCATCATCACTTGAAATCCCCAAACAAGATGGTAAACCAATCATGATCATGCTAGCACACATATCAGGAGGGCAGCCTAGATTGGTTCCCCAAGCTTCTGCCAACATCTTCCCCATCTCTAAAACAGCATCATGATTCATTTTTCTGATTCCCTCAACACCGCCTTCGAACCTCTTAACGAACTCCATAGCTGAGGGAAGCACCAGATATGGACTATAATCCCTTGTCCCAACCCAAAAACTTTCTTCAGCCAACCCCTTACCATACCTATGAGATACAACAGGGTGATGCAATTCCAAATCTGAATATGTAGCTGACTTCCTACAATACAAAAATGCAGCTGCAGGTGGGCAGAAAAACCACTTATACAAAGTACTAGCATAAAAATCCGCCCCAATTTCTTGCATATCAACATCTACGCACCCAACACCATGAGCTGCATCTATGAAAACTTGTTCAACACCTTCTTCCCGAACAATTTTAACCAATTGCTTAACTGGCATTACAATACTTGGCATGCATGTGACATGATCAATCACAGCCAATCTCACTTTCCTACCATTACCCTTTTCTCTCTCCAATGCTTTCCTAAATTCACTTATGATTTCTTCATTGGAATTCAATGGAAAGTTAAATGGAACTTCGATAACGTACCCACCAGCACGTGAAAAGTAGGCCTTGATTGAGTTCTTCACCGCACCATAAGTGCAGCTAAACATAATGACAGCATCTCCCTTGTTGAATTTCCCTTCAGCAAAGGCCCATGCTGTTTGCTGCAGGACTATGGCAGCAGCAGTGGAGATGTTGTCTACAATGGAGACTTCATCCACATCTTCTGCGTTGATAAGGTCTTTAATTATGGTTCTTGATTCAAGTATCCTGTTCTGGAGATCATTCAAGAAGAAATTGCATGGCTGGCGGAGCATTTTGAGCTGCCATTGATGCAAGGCAGAGATGACAGAAGCAGGGCAGCAACCAAAGCTGCCATTGTTCATCATGGCAACACCAGGAGCATGGTGAGCAAATTCAGATTGGATTTCGGAGTTTGTGATGAAGGAAGAAGAGGGCTTTGGCTCAATGGGAGCATGGTTTTCGACTCCCTCAGCAGCATCTAGGTTAGAGGCCCTTGAGACTTGGAATGAAAGCTTGTGGTAGAAGAATTGGAGGGTTCGATAAGGAAGAAGAACAACAAGTAGAACATAGTAACGGCAAAACATAATAATCCTCTCAGCCATGACCTGCGTTACTAAAAAACACAACCATGCATGTACAACAAAAAAACATTAAAAAATGAGGATCAGAGCCAAATGTATTGTTGAGGCAAGAATTAATTAAACATGATATTTAACAAGTACCCTAAGCCGTTGTCGAAAGTAGTTATCTTTCATGGATGATCTTGGAATTTGATGATAATACTAACAGCAAAGTACTACAAGAAATTCATATACAAAGATATGAAAAGAGAATGATAAATAGGGAATAAGAACTCAGAGGTCTGCTCCATATTTTGAAGCTCAGACTTGTTTCTCTAAATTTCAATTATTAAGTTGGAGAGAGCAGCCCTTTCTTGAAATATCTATTACAAATGCTGATAGCAGTCGTTAAGCTATATTCATCTATGAAAGCTTGTGGCTTCCTAGAGGCCTTGAACTGATAGCACTCGTTAAGCTATATTCATTACAAATACTGACCCACTTCTTGGTGTGCTCACCAACTTATAAAGATGACAGTTCAACACTATATTATAAAGCTGAAGAGTAATTCTTTTAACGCCTTTTAGGGTTAGAATTGCTGTTTATAGAATGTAAAGGAGAAAGTGTAAAGGGCAAGTATTTTTAGGTTAATCTTGTTGGTTGTTTAAGTTCTTGGGTTTTCACAGATTCTCAAGTGGAGCCCATTGGTCAGTCAACATATCTGGAAATTACATTCCTTGAAGCTGACAGACAATTGTTTATGTATTCATACATGAAGTTTTCTACATATCAAACCGAAAAAAGAAAAAAGAAATGTTCATGAACTTTATGTATAGTTTTTTTGCCTCGGAAGGAGCACTTTTAGACTTAATGGTACCAAAACCATTGCAGCTAGCAAAGGATGTAGGACACACAGAACTACATCTCCTTTTATTCATCGAACGGACTTCTTCAGGCCTCATTGATCTGCAGATCAACATAATATCCCATGTCAATAACAAGTTAGCAAACCAAATTCAGGAAACCGCAGTGTGTAGTATGTCTAGCTTATAAACCAATAAAGTGGATGAAGGCAGAGCATATATATACCTCAAGAGTACAAGTGAAACCGTCACGAACGAGTTGATTAATTGCATCTCTGAGCTTGTAATAGTCATCAACTTTGTTGTAAATCTGATGACAAATTCGAACATGTTGGAAGGTTTGATAAGGAAGGAGAAGAATAGGTGGAACATGTTGGAAAAACAACAATCAGTGACTAATTAAAACAATTATATAAACAAAATTTATAATAAACTGTAATACAGATTACAGTATATAAACAATAAATGAAACTGACTTGGATTCGAGATAGAGGCTTGCAGATTTGATAAAAAATAATTTTAAATCTGAAAGTGCCCAAGTGTCCCAAGGGCCAAGGCCTATCTTTTTGACCATTAAATATTATATAATTTTATATAATATTCAAAGCCCAAATGGTTTTTGAAGCCCAAATTGCTTCCACTCGGCCCACTTTCATTTACTAAGTGTGAGACTTCCACACTTATAAAGACCTCATTCTTTCTACTTTCTACCAATGTGGGACTAAGGTTCTTGAATTTCATTCAAACTTCCAACAAAACATAGTAGCGGCAAAACATAATAATCTTTTTAGCCATGACCTGCTCACTCAAACCAGGACCATACACAACAAAAACATTATCAAATTAATGAGGATCAGCGCCGATTGTATTGTCGAGGCGAGAATTAATTGAACATGATGATTTTAAGTACCTTAAGCCTTTGTTGAAATTGGTTTTCTTGCGTTAATGATCTCTCATTCATAGTCATTGTTCAACTTATTAATTTGCAATATTCTTGCGGACCTCTTGATATGTCTCAATGCTTGTCTTGACTACAAAAGACAAGAGAGCTACGACCAAAATCACTTGTTTTATATATGACATTAGGGAGGTTTAAATTGGTTAGGTAGAAAAATAAAAGATTATGACGTTGATTTTAAGATTTGGGTCACCAAAAGACAATCTTATAAAGTTTGGTGTATTAATCTAAAGTCAGCTTCCATATTTTCATGCTTTTGAATCTGGCTATCTACATGTGATGTGCTGGAAATTATGCATGGAAAATGGAATGCTAGAAAACCATGGATTTAGGTTTGCCTTTGTGGCAAGAAAAACATCACTTTAGTAAATATATCAGCTTATTAACAAATGCAGCTTATGGCTGAACTGATACCATTTGTAGTAACACTCACATAGTTCAAGTGAGCACATAGAGACAGTTTAACACACTTTATTAGAAAGATGAAGAGTAAATAATTGAAGGGCTTTTAAGGAATGCATCGGCTACAATTGATTATTATAAAACTGCAAAGGAGTGCAAGTGCTTTTAGGTAAGTCTTGTTGGTTGTTCAAGCACACATTGTGTTTCACTTATTGTCAAACTGATAGCATGAGGTGCTGTGTTCACAATCGAGTCCTAATCTCTGCGAATCACAACCAAACCGACAGATAATTGTTAATGTATTCATAGATGAACTTTTCTGCATATCAAACCGAAAATTCATCAACTTCTCTATATATATATACTTGTTTGCTTAGGAGCACTTCAGAAGTTAATGGTACAAAATCCATTGCACAACTAGCAAAGCATGCAGGATATAGGACCATATAGCTTCTTTTTTTCATCGAACGGACTTCAGGCCTCATTGATCTACAGATTAACATAAAATCCCATGTCAATAACAAGTAAGCAAACCAAATTTAGCAAGTTGCAGTGTATACTATGTCTAGCTTACAAACCAATAAACTGGATGAAGGCAGAGCATATACATACCTCAAGAGCGCAAGTGAATCCATCACGAACTAGTTGATTAATTGCATCTCTGAGCTTGTAATAGTCATCAACTTTGTTGTAAATCTGATGACAAATTCGAACATACCCCGTCGTTGATCCAACCTTTCCATCTTTGGGAGCTTGATAATGTATTCTGACTTCAACACCAAATTTGTCACATAAATGTGGCCGTAACTTCCTAGCATCATCATCACTTGAAATCCCCAAACAAGCCGGTAACCCTACCATGATCATGCTAGCGCACATATCAGGAGGACAACCTAGATTGGTTCCCCAAGCTTCTGCCAACATCTTCCCCATCTCAACAACAGCATCATGATTCATTTTTATGATTCCCTTAAGACCGCCTTCGAACCTGTTAACGAACTCCATAACTGAAGGAAGCACCAGATATGGACTATAATCCCTTGTCCCAACCCAAAAACTTTCTTCAGCCAACCCCATACCATACCTATGAGACACAATAGGGTGATGCAATTGCAAATCTGAATGTGTAGCTGATTTCCTACAATACAGAAATGAAACAACAGGTGGGCAGAAAAACCACTTATACAAAGTACTAGCATAAAAATCTGCCCCAATTTCTTGCATATCAACATCTACGCTCCCAACAGCATGAGCTGCATCTATGAACACTTGTTCAACACCCTCGTCCCTACAGATTTTAACCAATTGCTTAACTGGCATTACAACAGTTGGCACACATGTAACATGATCAATCACAGCCAATCTCACTCTCCTACCATTACCCTTTTCTCTCTCCAATGCTTTCCTAAATTCGCTTATGATTTCTTCATTGGAATTCAATGGAAAGTTAAATGGAACTTCGATAACGGACCCACCAGCACGTGAAAAGTAGGCCTCGATTGAGTTCTTCACTGCACCATAAGTGCAGCTAAACATAATGACAGCATCCCCTTTGTTGAATTTCCCTTCAGCAAAGGCCCATGCTGTTTGCTGCAGGACTATGGCAGCAGCAGTGGAGATGTTGTCTACAATGGAGACTTCATCCACATCTTCTGCGTTGATATGGTCTTTAATTATGTTTCTTGATTCAAGTATCCTGTTCTTGAGCTCATTCAAAAGGAAATGGCTTGGCTGGCGGAGCATTTTGAGCTGCCATTGTTGCAAGGCAGAGATGACAGAAGCAGGGCAGCAACCAAAGCTGCCATTGTTCATCATGGCAACACCAGGAGCATGGTGAGCAAATTCGGATTGGATTTCGGAGTCTGTGATGAAGGAAGAAGAGTGTTTTGGCTCAATGGGAACTTGGGTTTTGATTTGGTAGAAGAATTGGAGGGTTCGATAGGGAAGAAGAACAATAGGTGAAACATAGTAACGGCAAAATATGACAATCTTCTCGGCCATAACCTGCGTCACTCAAAACACAACCATTCATGCACAACAAAAACATTAGCAAATGAGATCAGAGCTAAATGTATTGGTAAGGCAAGAATTAAGTAAACATGATTCTTAATAAGTACCCTTAGCCGTTGTCCAAAGTGGTTTTCTTGCGTGGATGATCCCGCATTCCCAGTCATTGTTCAACTTATACAAGAGAGCTTTTGCCTAAAAAGGAAAAAAAACTTATACGAGAGAGCTAGGAACAAAATCACCTGCTTTTATATGTGACATTAGGGAGGTTTAAGTTGATTGTGTTGAAAATCAACAGATGATTGCGTTGATTTGAATGGAATCTTAATCTTATCTGAAGATTTGGATCAGCAGAAGAAAGTCTTAATTTTGCTTGCTATATGAATTGTCAGATGTTCAAACTCAAGTCATCTTCAATTTTATCATGCTTTTGAATGTGGCTTGAATTTGGCTATTATGCATGGAGTTGAACTAAAAAAATCATGACTTTTATTAATCTCGACAAGTGAGAGGTTTGCCATTGTTGCAAGAAAAACATTATTTTAGTAACTTATAAATATGTATGACAGCATATTAAAAAATGGGTTTGCGCCTGCCCTTGCAATTAAGTTTGTATCTCCTTTCTCATAAATTAGTTTAATTTAGAGTAATTTAAACTATCATTTGTACAAAATTATATAATAAAAAATTGTAGGTTCCTCTACTGAGCTCGTGATGCATCAATGGTTGTCATGACTCATGACAAAGACCAATCACCAAACTCACTTGTCTTTATTATTACGTGGGTTTGAATGAGAAATTTCAAACATGTGTGTTGTCTGAGTTTGAGCGAAAATATGCGTGCAATGTTGTCTTTTCAATCTAATCCTTCACGAAATTAATGGCGGTGGATAATATAATATAACATAACATATTCTATTTTGTTGTGTGGCTGTCGATGGAGACAAGGTTTTCACGTTCGTGGTGTTTGCGTTGGATAGATAAACATGGGGTCGCATTCAGGGTTTGAGAAAAGAAATCTTCTTCTTATTTTCCCCGTCTGCTTCAATTTGTTCAAAAGCCGTTTGATTTTCGCTTCATCACTCTTCAACGTTTTCTTTTGCAGAAATGACATGCCAAATGAGTAACGAGTAAATCATCATGATTCATGATGATTATGAATCCTAGTCCTAAGAATGTTCTCAAATTATTAAATGTCAGGCGATAATGAGATGAAATGAAATGGTAGGGCCTTTGGTGCTAGATGATGGAATATGAGTCGCGTGGTGGACGACTGACCGTAACATACCTCATTATAAAGAGGTACCTCTTTATAATGGATATAATTCTGGTGGGGTTAACAATTTTTTTTCTTCATAAGAATCATCATAAAAATGAAAATTGCCTGTCTAGTCATGTTTGGCAAAGGTTGCTTCATCTAATGGTATTATGAGGCGTGAGAGACTAAAAGAGCCCTCATAGGATTGCCTACTCAACTCATTTATCTACTAAGAATGCGTGCTTCAAACTTACGAAAAGACAATCAACCCACAGCACCTATGAATTTTGAATAGACTGCAAATTTTGACATAAAACATTTGCTTTCTTGAATTGCGGCGACTGTCGCCGCCGGTAGATGTAGCTGAAAATGAAATGCGGGGAATAAGAATAAATCCTAGAACGAGCCAGCAAAGATTTCAAATTCAAAACCCCATTAACAATTGAATAAAAAAGAGGAATATGAATGAGAAGAATCCAGAGGAATATGAATATGATCAAACCAAAAAGCACAAGAAATCAGAATAAAATCAAGATAGCCAACAACTGAAGGCAGAAAGAATAGTGGAGAATCTGGAGACCAGTCGGTTCTTTGTCTTGCCTTTTCAATATTAACATTTTAAAAAACAATTCTTTTCAGATCCATCATATGGGTAGTGAGGGGGTGGTCCATGGTGGATACACCCTCCTCCAGTCAAGTCTTCTCAAGGTGCAAAATTTCTGTACATCCAGTAGCATATTTACATAAAAATATCCCCCTCAGATAGTTGCAACATGCCCTAACTAAAGAATAGTCACCACTTGTAAGAAGCAAATAATCACCAGCCATCATGAAGTGTTACAATAATTTGCAGGAGACAACTGTGCAAATGCTATATAGAAAAAAAGAAAAAAAAATAAATCAGACAACTAACAATCAATCCCTAGTTGATGATCCATGACAAGGCAATTGCAATTGGCAATATAAGCTGGCAGGTCTTACTCGTACCACAATAAACATTGATGCAACAGATATGAAGTTTGTCTTAAATGAAAACTATGTAAGAGTTAAATAAGCATGCAAATGATGACAAATAGTCATTAAACATTTACAACAACAACAACTCCGACAGCGTTCAACAGACAGTTAACATCTCCAGGAATCCAAAACACCAAAAACCATGAAGAAAATTGTTTCTGCTTTGATACATGCACCCAGCAGTCTATTTTCTACTAATTTAGGATTTAATGGTACCGAAACCATTGCAACTACTGAGGCACGCAGGCGAGGCAGATAACCATGGATGTTATTCATCAGAAGAACTTCTTCAGTGCTTTGTCAGACTACAAATATACAGAAAGTTACATGTCAAAAACAACTTAAAAGTAATTAACACACATTCACAAAATACTGCACAAATTTCCACAGATAATCTCCAATCACTGGGTGTACTCAGAATGGCTCATCCAAGCAAGCCTCTTAGAGGTACCAAATAATACAAATAAAGCTCCTCCTTGCATATCATAAACTGCAAGCACACATAGGGCAATTCTAGGGATACAAGTTATCCAGAAGAGAATTGTTAAGCAATAAGCCTCATATTTGATAGCTAACAATCGTCATACTACATTACTTTTGCCCCGTGAATAAACATCTTCTAAGCTCTAATCAAATCACCTATAGACATAAATATACTGACTACCAAAGCAAGAAACACCAGCTAACTATAATTGCACTTCTGGAAATGGTAGTAAGACCACTTGGGTTCATCACAATATTTAACTAGCATTTCAATCTCAGTATAAGACAGCGAGAACCTGATTCTTGATGCAAAAGGGAAAATGGAAGGGATATGGATCTTCATATTGGAAAGCCAAACAACAAAGAAATTACACTCCTTAGTATTTCTTACTTTAAAACAATTAAAATGCTTGAAAGCAGAGCATACCTCATCAGTTAGAAAGTAAAGCACAAGTGAACCCTTCGGAAACAAGTTGATTAATTGCGTCTCTGAACTTGTAATAGTCATCAACTTTGTTGTAGACTTGATGAGAAATTCGACAATACCCAGTTATTGACTCAACCTCCCCATTCTTGGGTGCTCGGAAATATATTGGGACTTCAACACCAAACTTCTCCCTCAAATGTGTCCTTAACTTTTGAGTATCCTTCTCACTTGAAATCCCCAAACAAGCCGGTAATCCAATCATGATCATGCTGGCGCACATCTCCGGGGGGCACCCTAGATGTGTTCCCCATGCCTTGGCCAACATGTTCCCCATCTCAACAACAGCCTCATGGTTCCTCTTTTTGATGCCCTCAATACCACCTTCAAACCTATTGACAAAATCCAAAACCGAAGGAACAACCAATTGAGGACTGTAATCCCTAGTCCCAATCCAAGCACTTTCTATGGCCAACCCATTACCATACTCATGAGAAACAACAGGATGGTGCAGCTCTGGACACTTGGGGGACTTCCTACAATACAAAAACGCAATAGCCGGCGGGCAGAAAAACCACTTATGCAAATTACTAGTATAATAATCAGCCCCAATTAGCTTCATATCAACATCAGTACACCCAATACTATGAGCAGCATCTACAAAAACCTGGTCAACTCCCTCTTCCCTACAAATCTTAACCAATTCTCGAACAGGTATAACCACACAAGGCATTGAAGTAATATGATCAATCACAGCTAGCCTAACCCTCCTACCATTGGCCTTCCCTTTCTCCAAAGCTTTCTTAAATTCAGTGATAATCTCATCATTAGAAGTCAAAGGAAAAGGCAAAGGGACTTCAATCACATACCCACCAGCACGACTTATGTAGGCCTCAATCGACTTCTTCACAGCACCATAAGCATAATGAAGCATAACCACAGCATCCCCTTTGTCGAATTTGCTCTCTGAAAATCCCCAAGCGGCCTGTTGAAGCACTATGGCGGCTGCAGTGGTGGCGTTGTCGACGATTGAGACCTCTTCGACATGGTCGGCATTGATGAGATCCTTGATGATGGTTCTGGATTGGTGAATTCCCTTCTTGAGCTCGTTGAAGTAGAAATGGTCAGGCTGGGCCAGGTACTTGAGCTGCCATTGTCTCTGAGCTTCAATAATGAAGGCCGGGCAGCTGCCGAAGCTTCCGTTGTTGATTCGGGCGATATTGGGGTCGTGGTGAGAAAATTCGGAGGCGATTTCAGAGGCTGTGATGAAAGCAGGGGAGAGTTTGGGCTTTTTGGGTACGTGGGTTTTGCTGTCCCCGTTGGGAGTGTGGTTATGGTGGTGGTTAGGGGAGGAGGCCATGGGGAATTCGGGTTTGGAGGGTTAGGGTTTGAAGGGGGTGATGAGGAAGCTGTAGCTGAAGATGAGCATGAAATGAGAAAAAGGAAGAAAGATTGTTGGGGGTGGGAGGAGTGAGTGTGGTGGTGTGTGATTGGCTAGAGCTTTTGGGAGAGAGAGAGAGGGGGGCATGACAGAAATTAATTAATTTCCATTTAATTGAAGATTAATTTTGGGGGTGAAATGAAATGGGACAAGTGGGGCGCATTGGAGGTGCCATTAACTGAATTAACTAGTCAGCTGGCGCCAAATAAGACACACTCAATGACTCAGCTGACCATTTCCATTTGTCTCGTTTCTCCCACGTGATATGCACGTGATTTCCCACCACCATTTTCTTTCTCTTTCACTTACAGTGATTTTCTTTGTTGATTTCCAAATCCACCAGAAATTTACTATTTATTTCTTTGCTTTTTTCGAAAGTATGGCTATGGATTCAACCCATTTCATCACTTTGGCTCTTTGTTTTCTTCTGTGATAGGCCTCCCCTCAGTCTCAGCGTGAAAATCACTTTTTAAGAGGACCCATTAGAGAGAGATAATAGAACTCTTTAGTGGAGGAGAGGACAGTTACTATGAGTCTATAAGCATAGTCATGAATGTAGCCTTTACTCCAGTATCATACAATAATTTTTTTCGTTACAAACACGAGCATGAGTTAGATTTTTGTCGGCTCAACCTAAAACACATTATAGATTTATGTATGGGATAAATGGTTACTATTTAGGCCAGTTTTTATTTGCTTCTTATTTATTGCCACCCCCACATCTTTTTATTTGGGGCAAAGTTCATGTCACCAAAGTTCTCTCGTCAAAATTGTCATCATCCCTTTGGTGTGTAAGGATCCAAATCAACTTTTTAACTCAGTCTTCATGACATCCATTCCAAGGATGACCCTAACTAAAGGTTCCAAAATCAACTATTTAACTACTCGTTGTATGCATTGAATCTAGACCAATAAGAGACACATAGACATCCGTGTATAGAATCGCCTACACAATTTACATGCTTGAATGGTTTATAACATTGTCGTGCCAACTAATTTAACATTTTGTGTTACAAAATTGTCAATAAAAGCAACAAATTAATATAGGACCACTGCTAATTTAGGGGATTTATATTTTTGTTGATTCCGTCGTCTTATATTTGTCTTATTGTTTTGCATCTGAAAATTCTGATGTCAATTTGCCAAAACATGAGGACAATATCATTATTCGTCTTTAGCAGTTTAGACGAGGTATTATTTGCATCCAAGAATTCTATAGCAAGGGTCTTTATATATGATCTTTAGTTGAGGTTCTATTTTTTAGCTATTAGATTAAATTAATTAATCGTTGGATCAAATTATATGACCTCACCTAAGGCCCATATATGAAGCCCTCACTAAAAAATGACTTGCATCCAAGAATAGGACAAGTAATGGGTTTGCGTTGTGTTTTTGTTCGGTCTCAAATCCCTTTCACTTCATGGATTAAAGTCTTTAATCGTCGATACCAACGACAGCGATGTGGTGCCACGTGTCGCATTATTAGCCTTAATAACTATGGGCTACAAACCCATAAAAAATAGAAATTTGACAATATGGGCTAGATTTATGTCTTCATGTTGTAAATTTGGGCTCAAAGCCTCGTACTAGTCCATTCAAGTTTCAGGCTTCCTCTGGGCACTTTTCTTCTTTGATTATTTTCCAACACAGCATCATCGTTTCATCCTTTTGCCACCTAAAGAATCCAACAAATATTTGCATCAACATCACCTCGTACACAAGTTCGAATCTACCTCTCCCTTAAATTAGACTTATGACTATCACCTTGGTATACAAGAGAGTTTGGGCCTCACCTCGGTACACTTCTCCATCTTGGAGATGGCGAGGACTTATTTTCTTCAGAGGTGATGGTAGCATCTCATCTGACAAATGATGGAAGTGGGTTGCAGGCAGAGAGTCAGCAGCCTTAGAAGCAGGGACGGGCTCGGCCATGAGGGCAGTAGCTGGAACATCATGAGGCTCTACATCAAACCACAATCAGATTCAAATAATAAGTTCATTGAAAGGAAACTACAAAATGAACTTCTTGGACATAAAAATAGCTCAAATGCAAGCAATTATACTCACCCTTAATATCCATTTTCTTGTCCTCAATCAGTATGCCAAGACCATCTGCTTCATCTGACCCTGAACCTATCTTCTGCTTCACTCGCCTTATGCTGTACACATGCTGCATAGAAACTTTATCCTCTTTGAAGTCTTTCAACTTGACACATTAATTTGCAAGAATGTAATGTGAGGATATGGAGTATTTTTCCGAAACTTTTGAGCAGACAAATGGATGGCAATGATGGATTATCAATGGAGGAGAGATGATAAAAGTATTACTTTGACAGAACTGGCCACGACGACATTGGTGGTGTTAGCTGGAGTTTCCTTCTCCTCACAGAGAGTAAGGAGCTCCTTTCTTTTGCGTCTGTAGAAAGATGTAATGAATTGAGTGGAATGCATAAAAGTCAGCCACTGTGCAAGCATCAAGCCGTTCTATACTAGAGCTTGTAGACCTGCATTTTCCTTTTCTTCGTTGCCTATGCTTATAATCTAATCTTGGGGAAAAGAAGAAAACGTGACAGATATATAGAATTCTGGTAGTTATCTGAGGTGGAACCAGGCAACAATAGTTTCAACCCAACCCAATTCCCATTCTATCTATTTCCCAATTCACTTAGGGACATGAAAGGAGGAAAAAAAGGGTTTACCACCAAATGCAGAAGGAAGGGCCTACCACCAACCATTAAACTTCAAACAGTCTCAGCCTCTCAGGCCTTACTACCTAAGCTGTTGATCCTTTTTGACTCAATAAAATTACAGAAACAACTCTCAAACATGAACATGCTAGAATCACATTTATGCACGCATAGACATAAAAAAAAAAATCTCGGACTGAAACTGAACTAGTACGAAAATATAAACAAACTGCAGTTTTCACATGAGAGAGAGAGAGAGAGAGAGAGAGAGAGAGAGTGAGAGCAGACCCTGACAGATGAGTTTGAGGAACAGGACCAGAATGAGATTCAATTTTGATCCTCCTCACACAGTTAGTCTCACTTGTTTCTGAACTTCAACAACAAAAATGACAAAAAGAATCCATAATGAGTAATGCAGTGATAAGTCCCCTTTGTAGGCATAAATTTAGTTTTGTATCAGGGTGACAAAAAGAATCCACAAACATAACCAAAATGCCATCCAAGATGAAACCCAAACCCAAATACCTCAAATTCTGCAGAGACTCCAGACGTGTCACTAGCATCTCCATATTCTTGAACTGTCTGGAGTAATTGCCGCCTCCATTTTCCTCAACATAGTCGCCAACACTGCAAATGGTTAACAAAAACAACACCCAAACGCCATTAACAAGCAAGAATTGATGAAAAATCACCCAAGTACTCAGGGACACAGAGACTCATAGGACAACAAAAACTCACTCAAGTTCCACATGCTTAGAAAACCCATCAGTCAAAGCATAATAAACATGCAATTTTCCCTCCATTACAAGACACTTGACGAGCACCTTCCTCGAACCCTTTTCCGGGTTCACGTAGATGAAGGCGTACTGGTCGTCAAGCTCGTTCCAGTCCTGAATACCCACTTCATCTGCAACCAAAAAGAAACAGACCAAAACCGATTAATTTGAGAAACTTGTATCCGTTAATTTCCAGAAAGAACACTGCTTTTATAGAGTTGGGTAGGTACCTGTGGAAGCAGAGGTGAGGCCAGAGGGGTTGAAGGCCGGGGGACCTGTGGCGGTGAGCTCATAGCCGGAAGCTAAGAAGAAAGAGTGAACGGCAAAAACCACCTTGTCGTTGTCGTTGCCGTTGCGAAATGCAGGCTTCAGGGCTTTGATCAAAGCCATCACCGACTTCCCGCTTGCCATGGCTAGCTACCTTGTAGTTAAAGCTTTCTCTTTTCTCAGCGTGATTGAAACTTGAAATGTGGGTTTTCCCTAATGTTCTGCAAGGAAAATAAGGAAAACACTAGAGCGTGGCTTTACGGCTAGTTTTTATCTTGGGATGGAAGCAATCTGCTGCGGCGTTTCAAAAATAAAGGAAACTCATGTCATGTGGAATGTAAAATTGTATTTGTACAAGTAAAACATATTTAAAGGTCAATTACTCACAAGCAAAGCTTTTGCCACCCTACTTTGAAGAGTCTTTTTTTAATATTCTTTCTTTCGATTTTTTGTTTTGCACCTTAGCCTATTGGGACTTATTATTTTGCACCCGAAATTCCCATGCCAATTTGCCAAAACATGAAGACAATACCATCCAATATGTCTTTAGTGGGGTTCCCTTTCAAGATACAAGGACCAAGGTTTTTCCTTTTCCTCTTAATTGCCCAACTTATAAATTGTTCAAGCCTTCGCAGGCACTCAAGAATCATTTTTGCATTTGCTCATTTTGGACGGAAAAAAATCTTACAAGTTCAGTTGTAAGGGTTTCCTATGAAAATGGCAAAGATTTTTTATTCTAAGAAAATTGTTGATGTTCTCAATAGTTTGGAAACATGTTGAACTAGTAAGGTGCAAAGATCTTGTGAATCTGTTCATTTCATAATCAAATGGTGCATTCATTTCAAGGAAAAAACATGTAGCATAAAACCAAATATCTATATTTGAATCACTCCTATATGACGATTAACAAACCCAACCGAACTCGCTTAGAATAGCATTACAACTTTCATGAACTTAGTGCTAATTTCCTTTGTCATAAGTAGCTATGTTTTGGGGCTCACACTCTGGACTAAATAAGCGAACCAGCAAAGCAGTGGTTGAGCTCATAGAAACTGCACCACATGCTGCCCAACGAAGAGTCCTAGGAACTGTAATTCTGGGTCCTGAAAGAGCACAAAAGCAACAACATAAGCTATGGCTTTGTGTTCATCAACTAGAATGGATGAGTACATTTGTTTTTGGCTTAAACTTCACATACGATCATAATGATCAAGAATCAAACATAGCAGGCACATATCATGGCATTGAATGGAGAAAGTGTATGTACAAGAACAGCAGAAGCAACAATAACAAAACCATAACTAGTAGAAGTAGGACAGACCATAATGCAGTCCACAAAGGATCCAGAATCCCAATGCTCCGCCAACACTGAAAATACCGGCAGTCTGTCTCATCAATCTAGAACAAGGTTTTGCATCCGACCTCATCAGCTCGCCATCCGAAAACCCTAAAAAGCGCCTCAACGCCATCTGTATATCTTTGTGCTACAATTTAAAGCTTCTTTCCCACCTAGGATGTTCCACTGAAAATTGGTAAAAGCTTGATTCAGTTGCCAAATTAAACTTTGGAAATTTGAGAGTGGGAATGACACTGACTTGAGTGAATGACACAAACCAAAATACTAGTACGTCAGTATGTCAAATTGAATGCTACCAAAACCAAATACCATGCTTGCTTCAACAACTTTTATATTGCACAAAGCCTTGAACTTTAGGCATACTCATTAATCACAAACACAAAGTTTTTATACGACGGTAAAATGCCAACGAATTCTGATGTGAGAATAGAAATTTGTATAACAAATGCAGTTTGAGATCACACCAACCCACCAACCATCATTGTACAAAGCATCAACCTCTGAAATGATCAACAACAGTTTCGGGCAGACAAGGTCGTAGGGGCAGCGTATCAATCTCTTCTCTCAAAAATGCTGAATCATCTTCTGTCCTCAAGCTCTGGTATTCAATAAGGAACTTGTCCTCCCCCAACAGCTTCCAATATAGTTGCAGCAAACCAAGTACCATTAAACCCTCTTCATCACTGCTAACCACAACTTGCGTTCACTTGGTAAAAATCTCATGAGTTGACACTTTTGCAATTTAGAACTCTCACCTCGTCAAATGTGAACTAAAGATAAATGAGATAAAAATGACCAACAGTAAAAAGAAAAAGAATGTGTTGAGGACAGATGATGATTCAGCATTTTTGCGTGAATTGATACGCTGCACGTACGACCTCGCCCGCCCGAAACTGTTGTTGACCATTTCAGTTTGCTTCAAGAGGTTGATTCTTCGTACAATGATGGTTGGTGGATTGGTGTGATCTTCTAATTGAAAAGCTATCTCAGTGCGTCAATTTATCGAACATAAAAGGGGCAGTTTGAGATGAAGTTTCGCATACAACACAATACAGCAAAAATCTGAGCCATTACAAAGAATTAGAAATAAGACTACAGACAAAGAAAAGCTCGTGTAGGAAATTACCTTTTGGCCTTTTGGGGAAGCAAAACAAGTCTGAAGATAGAGCGACAAAGTGTGGGACTTTCGGAGTGGGTGTGAGACTGATAATGATTAATGATCGTGAGAGGCGAAGGAAGAAGTAAAGAAGAAGGCTGCATGGGCTGGGCTGGATATTGGGCTCAGCTAGAAGTGCTTGGGCTAGCTAAGGCTTGGCCGGGGATAATAGTGTAAGTTTACCTTTCTTTTTCGTTCTCCTTTTCTTTTTTCTGGTGGTCAGTGTAATTCATTTTCTTTTCTTTGTATTAAATTATGGTTATAAGTGTATAATTATGATAATAAAATGAGGGTTGGTATGGTTTTTTCTCATGGCTCTATGCATACCACCTAAGCTATTATATATGCTTTGGAGTTGGAGATGATAAAATACCGATGTCAATTTCATCGTTTACTATTTCGTACATCAAAATAAATCTCGAGTAAGACGATAGTAGAAAAATTTGAAAACCAAATACAAAGCTCAAAATAATTGTGTGTTAAATCGTACTACTACTAGAGAAGGTGTGTCTGGAACATTAGCCCTCTTACTAGTAGTGCATGATGATTGCACTAAGCAAGTCTGGTTTTTTAATTATTTCATTTTTATATATTGTCTTTTGATTTTGAAAATGGAGTTATTTGCAAAAAGGACAAGAGCTTTGAATTCGAATGCCACCCCGCTCCTTCCTGTCCACGGCTTTTCATTCTTGAAACTTCTGGGTAGCTTCTGTTTCATCAGATATTATTGCATGGCCTACTGTGCATCATGATCGTACGACCCTACCTTTAGGCTTTAGCCATAACATTTCTCAATCAGATAATAATAATTATAATTATAATTATTTTCTACAAAACTGACAGTGATATTATCTTCAGCTAATTTACAAGGGCATGTCCTTAACAGACTTTTACCTATAATGAAAACAATAATAAAATTGTGAAACATATTCAGCAAGCACAAACTTTTGATTTCACGAGCTAGAAAGGCGCGTGGCCTTGTGATTCTGATGCAGACAGAGTGAGCAACTAATGCTGGACATTGGACCACGTAGTATATAAGAAGGAAGGGATCCACTAGGCTCCTACTTTCCCGGATTACATGTTTTTCTGGACACTTCTTGGTTCATCAGTTTCCTACCATCCCAGCTTCTGTTCTGTGGCAGTGCTCCACCACTTTCCCAAAGCTAAGCTGACCAAAGGTTTGACTACTTACTAAATCTTCATGATCATCATGAACATCATCACTACGTCAACCAAAAGATTGATTTCATCACATGGCTTCATGATTTTTATGCATAGTAGCTTTTATTTTTGTGTAATAATTTGCTGAGTGTTTTTTTTTTTTTTTTTGGAGATGGGTTCTTTGTGAGTGGTCTTGCCTACTTGATCAGCAAACTAGCTTTGTTCTGCTTCAATTCTACTCTGCTTTTAAACTTACCCAACAACAGCAATTTACTTCTTCTTATAGTTGAACTCCCTTAAATTTGGAAATTTTAAGAACTTATATCATCAACTCCCAAAAAGACTGATAGCTAGGGCCCTTGAGCCAATGCTCTTGATGCATCCTAATTCAGTTGCTAGATAGGGTGATTGATTCATCCTTTGATTCTTGTATGACTTCTGCAACATTCAGTTTAATTTTGTCACTCTTTTTGACAGGATGTGGCACAAATACCTCTTGGTGGCTGTCTACTTATGGGCCTTAACATGTTCACTTGTTCCTGCTTATGGCCTAGTGAGAATCGGTCTGAAGAAGCGACCCTTGGATCTTCAAACCATCAAAGCTGCAAGAGCAGAAAGGGAGGCAAATTACAGAGGGAGTCTAAAGGGCATGAATCAGAATCACTATTTGGGTAGTTCGGATGAAGATATAGTACCTCTCAATAATTACATGGATGCTCAATATTATGGGGAGATTGGAATTGGCTCACCTCCTCAGAACTTCACTGTCATATTTGATACTGGCAGTTCCAATCTTTGGGTTCCATCATCAAAATGCTATTTTTCTGTAAGTTTTGGTTAACTTTACCTTGTCATGTTCCATAATCTCCTGTCTACCAAGTAACTAATTGTTTTCATAATTACATGCAGATTGCATGCTATTTCCATACTAGGTACAAGTCAAGCAAGTCCAGCACATACACCGCAATTGGTAATGTGATATGAGTTTAAAGGGGTTACTTTTTGCTAAATGTAAGTTCAGATTTATAATGGTTTCCTTGTGGTTCAGGAACGTCAGCCAAAATAACATATGGAAGTGGATCAATTTCTGGTTTCTTCAGTCAAGACAATGTTGAAGTTGGAGACCTTGTTGTCAAAAATCAAGTGGGGTTTTGCCTTGTTTTGTTCTTCGTTTTCATTTTCAGACTAGATGCCTATAGTGTCTGCAGCCTTTGTGATGCCTGTAACCTTCATCTACTCTGTAAATTCAGGATTTCATTGAGGCAACAAAGGAGGGCAGCCTCACATTCGTTTTGGCGAAGTTTGATGGACTTCTTGGCCTTGGGTTTCAGGAAATCTCTGTTGGGAATGCCACACCAGTGTGGTATTGTTATATTTAAACTTTGTGTTAAATCTATATTGTCTCTTTCCTCAAAATTATGCTTTGTAGGTTTTATTCTCCGTAAAATCTCCAATGCCATGGATAGTTGATTCATTTTAAGATTACAGGCAAACAATGGCAGAACAAGGTCTTCTAAGTGATGATGTCTTCTCATTCTGGCTTAACCGAGACACAACTGCAGAAGTAGGAGGTGAACTTGTTTTCGGTGGTGTTGACTCAAAGCATTATAAAGGGAAGCATACCTATGTTCCAGTTACTAGAAAGGGTTATTGGCAGGTGCTAGAAGTTATATGTTTGGACCATTTGCATCTTGTTTTGTTCTTTATTCTTGGAGATTAAATATCTAATGAGTTAAACATCTCTTCCCTGTTTTCAGTTTGAAATGGGCGATATTGTAATCGGGAACTTGTCAACAGGTGATTCAGTAGCACCTTAAGCATAGACATGCTCTGATACCTTGTTAGATCATGGAGAATTCCTGCTATATCAACTGTGGAGGAGAAACTTTGGGATATTTTTTCTGATCATTGATTGTTCTTGTTGTCTTATAAACTTTAGAAAAGTATTCTAATATCAAAATTCTGAAGAAAATGCAATGAATTTATGAAACTTCTAAAGTTAGTGATTGTACCCAGGTGTTTGTGAGGGGGGTTGTGCTGCTGTTGTGGATTCAGGAACGTCCTTACTCACTGGTCCAACGGTATGTGCTTCCATATATTTTCTACTATTTTTTTTACTTTCAAAAGGACTCGATGCTTGATTTAATATTGGCTATTCTTTTCAGACTATTGTGACTGAAATTAACCATGCTATTGGAGCTGAAGGAGTAGTGAGTGCAGAATGTAAGCAAGTTGTGTCTCAATATGGAGACTTGATTTGGGATCTTCTAATATCAGGGGTGGGTTGTTTTCTCTCTTCAACCAAATATTAACCTTTCATTTCAACTCAATATCTCCAAGGATTATCCATGGTCTGCATTCTGCAGGTACAACCTGACCAAGTATGTAAGCAGCTTGGTTTGTGCGTTTTCAATGGGGCTCAGTATGTGAGGTCAGTATATTCTTATGGTTACATGATGCTTTTATTTTTTACTATGCCTGCAGTGTATCGATGCCTTAGACTATGAAGGTTATTTAATCTTAAGAAAGCAGTTTCATGGAAGGTGTGGCCATGGTAGTTAAAGTAGGTATTCTAGTGATCAGCCTTACTTTTAGGGGGAGAAGTTATTTGTTTGAAGGTTAAGCGCAGCACAAATACTGGAACTCATAATATCAACCGGGTTTAGTTGAAGGTTTCGTGTGAAAACCCTGTCTGTATCAAGCATATACCCTTCTCTTCTCTTTTTATGTACTGTTGATGGTCTAAAACCCAATTCTGGGCAGCACTGGGATTGAAACAGTGGTTGAAAAGGAGAGCAGGGAGGGCTCATCTGCTGGTGACAGTGCTTTGTGCACAGCTTGTGAGATGGCTGTTGTTTGGGCCCAGAATCAGCTCAAACAAAAAGGAGCAAAAGACAAAGTCCTAAGCTACATCAACGAGGTGAGTTGCTAGTACCATGTCCTGTTCTGAGAAGCCAAAATTATAAATAAATTTCCAAGTTGTGCTGAGCATTGATGTTGGTACAAAATTTTAACAGCTCTGTGAGAGCCTTCCAAGTCCACTGGGAGAATCCATAATCGACTGCAATAGCATTTCGAGCATGCCAAACGTGACCTTCACCATTGGAGATAAACCCTTTGTCCTCACTCCGGAACAAGTTAGATTTTGACATTACAGCTTCTTCTTGTACTTGATACTTTCTTGCCTATGTAAGTTGTTTTGGAGAAGTAATTACTGGTACCATTTGCCATATTTTTCCAGTATATTCTGAAAACTGGAGAAGGCATTGCTGCTATCTGTATCAGCGGGTTTGGGGCTCTTGATCTCGCTCCTCCAACTGGGCCTCTGTGGTACCTTATGAAAACCTTACCATTCATACACTCTGCATCTTTTTTAAGGTTTATGTTACTGTGGCTTAGGATTAGCTGACATAATGTGCATGCAGGATTCTTGGAGACGTATTCATGGGGCCATACCACACCGTGTTCGACTTTGGTGACCTTCGAATCGGATTCGCAGAAGCTGCTTAACAGCCATATCATTTTGGTTCTTTGTATCCTGTGATCTTCAGAAACTTTTAAGATGGAGATGTTGTACATTTGTGATCAGATGATGTTCTCATGTTTGACTCCCGACGTTTAAGCTTTATATAGATGGTTTTTTATATTATTATATTTCCTTTTCTTTTAATACAGATTTTTTTTTTCCTTCTCACTTTGAACGGAGATGTTTTGCAAGCACACATACATCACTTGGGTTAACCTCATTTAATCGAATTGTTTCCTTTTATCAATCGGAGCTCTGATACTTTCATAAACAGGAGTCAACTTATCACAACAAATAATCTTTACAAACCAACCACTCATAAGCATCAATGTTTGACTTGGATTGGGCTATAAAAACACGATGTTTCATCTCGTGAATCACAAATGTCTATAACTGCGGTTGTAGGTCACATAAACTACATAACTGCAAAGGCAATGCAAACTTTATACGGTACAAAGCTGATGGCCGGTTACAGCGGCACTGTCACTTATTCTTCATCGCTATCATTGCCAAACACTGAGGCCACAGGAACTTTTGGCTTCTTTGCAACACTACTGAACGAGCTCTGTAAAATGCGAGAAAAGTACCAATATGTTAAAAGAGGGTATAAAATTAATCATTTGGAGCAGATTGCCTTAATAACAAATGCCAGAATCACATTGCCATGAAATATGTGTCCCATGTAATTGTTTAGTCACAAAGCTCAGAGTGTGATATGCAGAGTTCATTGTCTGACAAAAGTGTTGGTGGTGGCAGTAAAACTTGAAGCATCGGAGCCAAGCAATGACAGCAAACATCACAACATATTTTAAGTATCACATAAACAAACTTTACCAAAACAAGAATATCACATATAACCAGATATACTTCGACAGAGTTTAGAAAGGATTATTAGCAACAAGTCATTAAAGGAACTCAAAAAGTAAGATTTCTCAGTCTACACACCCATGCTTCACAGAATAATCGCTCATGTATAGAAGTTGTATGCTAAATACACCATGAAAAATCAGCTTCCTCTTTAATCAACTCATCTTTAAAACAAACAGTAAGAATCAATACTCTAGATCCATAACATCAGTACACATACCTTAGACGTGCCACCTTTAGAAGAAAACCCAAATTTCAAAGCCTTCCGTTGATCCTGGTCTGCAAGTGTAGTAGCACTTGTCAGTTCAGTGGAACCCGGGGCAGACCCAGATTCTTCTTCTTGCTGCTGCTGCTGCTTCCTAGCGTCCGCACTACACGGAATTAAAGAAGACAAAGAAAGAGAATGTTATAAACATGAGATTATAGAAAAGCAGATACAAAATGAATCGTGAATATAAACCAGGGAAGGGAAAATGATTGCATACATCTGAACAAACTTTGCCATTTCCTTTTCCTGACGCTGCTGCTCTCGTTTCTGGCGATCATCCCGACTACTGGAACCATGCATTTCTTTCATTTCTTTAAAACGCTGCAAGTCTCATTTCAGGATTTGCCGATTCAGACCAAATTGGAAACACCCCCACAGACAAAATTAAGTCAAAGAACTGTATAGATCAACATAGGTCACTTACCTTTCTGTGATTGTGATCATATGAGCTCAAGTGAGCTTCAAATTCCACAGCCAACTTGTATTGTTTGTTGCAAAGATCACAGTAGAACACCTTGTGTATTTCTTTCACCTCGGTTTGAATTTTCTGCTCACGTTCTGCTAACACCTGGATTTTCATAATGTGCACGAAGCAGGCAGTAGAAGCCACCAGGTAATAAAAACTGCAGGAAATTCTCAGGACCTTCGAAAGTTGATGGTCCTATTCCCTTCAAAAGACACACATATATGCTATATGCTGCCTTCTGCTATTAAATTTGGGTTTAAGAAAAAGTAAAGCATCAACCTCAATGCTATCTATAACTTAATACTTATAGCAACTAAGATCAAAGCCATACCTCCCGCTTCTTTGCATGTTCCTCAGTCTCTTCAATTTCAACATCAAGTTTTCTTCTCTGGATATTTTCTTCTGCTGTAAAATAATCATCTTCCTCTTGTTTTCCAACTCCTAATTTTGGATCTCTAATCCCAGATTTTATTGGCTCAGTGATTCCTGTATACAAAACCCCCCCAATAAAACATTATGAATGTAGAATACCAGAGCTTAAGCAGTAAGACCAACAATAGCAAGAACTAAAAGGAATTATGGGTCAAACTAAGAGTATAACAAGTAAATAACAGCAAGACATGAAGTGTGATATAACTTGAAGGGACTGAAATAAGCTGACAACGAAGTTATCCATGAAAGAAGGTGGTCAATTTCTATAGATAATAATTAATTACTACAGACACGAATAGCACACAATCATCAATATTTCACTAATAACAAACCTTGCTCATCCTTCCCAAGTCCCTTCCCTTTCCACCCCATCTTTTGGAGAAGCCTAAAACCAATGTTAGATGATGCTATGTGTGTGTCCAATGATGCTTGTTCCACATTTTCCAGATTGACATTTTCTGTTGGCCTGTGATTAATTGGCAGTCGAAATTCCTCGGCTAGATCATCAACTAGTGAATCCTGATATGCCTGCACAATAAAGTCCTAGTAATGCACCATAGCAAGTTGAGAATTACAAATCCCTATGCACACATTAGCAAATAAATAAGCCAAAATATTAATGCAAAAATTAGCTAAGTACACATTAAAGTAATCCAAATTAAAAATAAGGGTAAATTTCACTTTACCACCCGGAAGTTTCTCGAAATTCAGACTTTGCTACACAGTTTTTTTGGTCTCAGTCTCATACCTAAACTTTGATTTTACTACCACTTTCATACCTCCGTTAGTTTGACTGTCAAGTTTTCCGTTAAACAATGAGATGGCATTCATAGCTCGACGTGTACTCACACATCTTGTGCCACTTGGACTAATAAAATAAATATAAATAAAAAAGTAAATCCCATTAAATAGAAAAGAAAAAAAAAAAAAAAAAAGAGTGGTGATTTCCCCACTCCTTTTTCTCCTATTTTATCCACTTACACTCCTTTTTTATAACTAAAAAAGGAGTGTAAGTGGGGAAATCTTTTTTTTTTTTTTCTCCCACATCCAATGTCAGACCCCACCATCTTCATCCCCATGACCAAACCTAGATACACCATAGCACCCTCTCCCCTAACCCTCACCTTTGCAGCCTCCAGCAACCACCTTCACCTCCAGCCACAGCCACAGCCACAGCCGCACCCCAAGATCTCCACGACCCAACCCCATAAAATCAGATCTGGATTATCTCTCTTCACCTCCATACGACTTCTTTGCCAAATTCATGAACATACTTTACAACGATTCCACATACGACTTCTTGTCGTTGTCCATACACGGCAAGTCGTCGTGGATAAACAACATCATGTGGATCATCTTGATGGCGCACGCTGCCGGCATGGCCTGCGAATGGGCATGGCCTGCAAGTGGGCAATGCCTGCAAATGGGTTTTGCTAGTTGAAAGGTTGGGATCTGGATCTGCCTGCTTGGTTGAACATTGAGCAGGTTTAGATTTGAACCCATGTGCTCAGATTCAAGCAGCTCGTACATTCTAGAATTTTATTTTTTGGGTTTTTTTTTTTCAATCCAATTTGCTCAAAGATGGTTGCTTTGCTCTGAAATTTCAGCAATGGTGGGGTGGGTGGATGGATTTACAGTGTTATATTGGTGTGGAGGGTGATGGGTCTTAATAGGTCCTTCCAGTTTTGCAAGCTCGCATCCCCATTTTGTAATTCCAGAAAGAGAAAGAAAGAGTGGTCGTCTAGAGGTTGAAGGTGGGTGCAGTGGGTTGTGGTGGAGGTTGGTGATTTTCCGATGGGGTTGGAGTGGTGGTGGTAGTGGTCAGGCTTTGGGTTGGGTGGTGGTTGTGGCAACAGTGAAGTTAGGGGAAGGGGAAGAGACCAGAGATAAAAAAAATTATTATTTATTTAATTATTGGTCCCCGTGGAGCAAATTCAATGGGTCAACGTGGAATTATGAGTGCCACGTCATAGTTTAACAAAAAACTTGACAGACAGTCAAACTAACGGAGGTATGAAAGTGATAGTAAAATCAAAGTTTAAGCATGAAACTGAAACAAAAATTTGTGTAGCAAAGTCTGAATTTCGGGAAACTTCCGGGTAGTAAAGTGAAATTTACCCTAAAAATAATGATTTCTATGAAGAGCTGCATATAACTATTCAAGAATCTTAGAATTCGCAAACCACTTTAGAGTTTGATACAAAAGCTGCCTGTTTGACAAAATAATGATATTAACATTCCACCAGATCTAAAATAAATAGAAAAATAAGGATCCTACAAATCTATTAGTTACCTGATCTTTCTCATTTGGCTGGTTGCCCCGGGTGCTTGTTTCCTGTCTACCTTTATACCGGTAGGCCATTATTTTTTACCTAAACAATCATGAACCAACGAAAATGTTAGCATTCAATATCAAAATTGAAAGAAAGCACATACTGCAATAATGAAGCACCAAACACCACTTTCTAGCTACTCTTGTAAAATTCTAATAATTAGTTTAAGAAGCAGAATAAGAGAAACTTAATTTAATCTATTTTTAGAGAAACACAATTCCCAGCTATCAAAAGGTGTCTGGCATTCAAGAAAGAATAAAAACTCAAATTAAGCCCAAACTGAAGAACCAATACACAAAATCGAGTTGTTTCTTCAGATTAGTCAAAAACCCATATCAACAATCTTGCAAAGACAAATACTTTTGAATAGTTCAAATGGCAATCAAATAAGAAGCAACAAATTAATATTATAATTAAATAAAACAAAAAACCGCAATGTTCGAAAAATCGCTAGGTGGGCGGCAGGGGCCTAGCGCCTAGAGGAGTAATCGGGGCCTAGGCGGACTCCTAGGAAAAAAATGGCATAGATAATTACAGAGAGAGAGGGTCGCGGGTGGGCGAGGGGGTCGCGGGTCTCGGGTGGCCGAGCGGGTCGCGGCCTGGTGGTGGTGGTCTGTCGTGAGAGAAGGAAAGGCAGCGTGAGGTAGGTTTTCTTAAAAGTCAGGCAAAAAAAGGGACCCGACCCGCCCAGCCGCCCAGACAAGCCTAGGCGGCCGATTTTCGAACACAAAAAACCGTGATGAATGATAAAAGCCGGCAACAATTAACAAAATCAAAGCATTAGCAGATACCAACCAATTCAATTTAGGCATACATACCTCGAATGAACCAGAAATTGAAAATTTCTAGCGAATGGAAGAACCAAAGATGCTCAGGATCTGGTATCGCCTACTTCCCTTGTTTCTGACTCTCTTCCATTGGTCAAAAAACAAGTCGTGATTATGATAAATCAGATGGGCTTGGATAGCCCAAAACTAAAGATGGGTCGTTCTAACTTCCAATCCACATTTGGGCTCAACTGAGCTTGGTCTATATCATTCGACGTTTAAACCCTTGGATGGTTTAAGTTTGATCTGAACCGTCCAATTACTAGATACTTAAAAGCGTGATTGGTTTAAGATGAGAGTGCATGATTAATTTAAGATATCATCACCTTGATGTGACAATGTGTGATTACTTTTCGCCATAGTGACATTTAATTTGTACGAGATGAGTCAATTTATTTGAAATTCATAATATAAGCTCTCAAGGAAAATCATGCATTGCGTGGTAAAGATTTTTTTTTGTTTAACATTTCCTTCTCCATGCCAATTTGTTTTTTTTATTATTTTCGTTGCCAACATCTCTAGAAATATTGTCTCTTAACAATTATTTAAGTAGTTAAAGAGTTCTATGCATTGAAATTCCAAGATTTTCTAGCCTATGAGCAAGCAAGCACCTCAATCTAGAACTCTACTTCCTCCAGCATATCCTGCCTAACTTCTGTGCTACCACTCATACATTTTCCAAATTCTCTTTCTTGTTTGCTTAATCAAGATTAACAAACGTGTCAACAAACTAATCACTTAGATATTGCAGGCCCACATTGATCATCAAGCAATTGGCGGCTTGAAAAATATCAAGCATGATTCTTTGGTCTTGAAAAATTTTAATATTGTATGAACTTTAGTTCATCAATGCGATTACAGCTAGAAAGAAAACCTTATTTAAGTGACTTGAAAAGATGGAATAAAAGGGTTCTGTGCTTCAAAGAATAAGTTGGGGCATGCCAAACTTTGGCTTTAATTAGTAAATTTTCAGATACCTTAAAGCTAGACAGCTTGCATGCAATGTTACATAAAAAGGAAACCTTACTTCTGAGCAATATGCGCACCAGTTGATTGCAATAAGAATTCAAAAACTGTGTCTATTGGGTACGCTGAGGCCTTCTGAGAAGAAAAAGGGAACCAGCCCTTTGTTTTTTTAAACCCTACAAGTACCTACCAATGCATGAACCAAAGCTGTTTTCCAAAGAACAAAGGGAACTGTTTGACTGTTATACCTTCTGCATTCTTTACATTTTATAGTAGCTACCTACCACTTTTTTCTTTATCTTATGTAATTTCCTGTATGCCTTATCTTTAAAGGAGAAAGAAAGTGAAGATAATAATTCTTTTCTCTAGAAAAACCTCATTTATCATGCCAATTTTACTGCTAAGCACAAACTAAATCATAATTTAAACGCTAGATCGCGAGGGTTTTACCTGTTCTGGTGTCAAAATCCTAGATGGTATCTGTTAATTAAATACATCTCACAATAAAGTTGATTATATCCCCAAAAAAAAGAGGTCAGATTTGTTGATGATCATTAGAAATTGTATGATGGGGAAGATGAAAGTAGAAAAGGTAGCAATGAATTTTAGGTGCAATATCACCGTCCAAAAGATCTCTTTGTAAATTTCAATGGAAGGTCCATGGAAGTACTTGAGAAAAATAAAAGTGCCAATAATGCCTTCAGTCTGTTTTGGTCAATTGAGAAAGCAGAGGACCATAAGAAATTTGTTATCTCCACCACCCGTTACTTCCTTGGAAGTGTGAATCCTCCAAGATTCTCCGCCCACTAGGATCATGTTAACAAAGGCTACTTCCTACTATAAATACAGCACATCTTCCTTCTTACAAACAGAAGAGAGTAACATTTGTACTTTCTTCATCTCATTACCTAAGCCCTGTGCTTAATTTTTTTTTCTTGTCAAAGAAGAGTTATGGGAGGCAACAACAGGCAGAAAAAATCCTCCTTCTCATTCTTCAGCTTGTTCAAATCGAGGAGGCCTCGCAGAGGAGATGACATGGGGGAGGATTTTTATATGAGTGCAAGAAGGGTGTGGATTAGTGAGGAGGACAGAGGTGGGTGGGTAGCTGAGCCCGGCATCGACAACAAAGCTACTGCTTTCATTGACAGAATCCACAAGTGCATTGTCTCAGAATCTGATTGCCAAACCTTAACTGTAAACCGAACATGAGTGCAAGAAAGGTGTGGCCTAGTGAGGAGGACAGAGGCGGGTGGGTAGCTGAGCCCGGCATCGACAACAAAGCTACTGCTTTCATTGATAGAATCCACAAGAGCATTGTCTCAGAATCTGATTGCCAAACCTTAACTGTAAACCCTGCTGGAAATTCCTAAGCAGGAGCTATGCCTCTCTGCATTTATTAGTGTATCATACTGTTATTTTATTCAAATAAGTTGTATCTAGTTTAGTTTGTGAATCACACTACAATAAATATCATCAAGTATTTGTTTCTGTTTATCAAACCTTCTGTTTTTCTCTTTTAAGTGCAGATTATGCCTACCATCATGCTTCAGTGTTTTTGTTCATTCTTATATCTTGGTTTTCAAAATCTTCAAACTAATTGGTTTTGAGTTTCCTTAAAAATAGTTAATAAATGACAACTTTGGCCTAGTTTTCATGACATCATTCATCATGTTTTATAGTAGATTGTTATAATATAAGCACCAAGAAGCAAATCAGTGTGGAAATTCTCCAGTGTTCTCTTTATGAAAATAGATAAATAAATAAATAGTAGAAGAAACATGAAATAAGCAGAAGTGCAGCAGGTTCAAGATATTAACAGTAAATTTTTAGTTCAGGAATGATAATTAGTAAATTAATGTACAATTTGGTACCAATGGTTTAAGTTACTTAACCAAATCTTCCCCATCTCTGCAATCAACATAGTGGTTTAAGGTTGCCTCTTGATCTGCAATCTGCAACAATCCCATGACAGGTTGTGTGTAGCATCAAATTTCACTTGATTGATGGAACAGCTTGTTAAATAAACCAAACTAAATTAATGGTTAAATTGTTTGGAGGTCAAGTATATTAAAATCTTTAAAGAACATATCCTTTAGATTTGTGAGCCTCAACATTCCCATCACATGGTATTCTTTCAGGCAGTTTTCAGAACAACCATATACTAATAAAGTTGTTGATTTACAAAAAACATAATAATAATAAAGTTGTTGTCCCCTCTAGCCCTTTAGTGACAAAGGAGGCCCGTGGCTTCAAAAATGATTCCATGCAATGGTCATATACAAGAAATTTCTCAATAGATATTAGGGAGAGGAAGGACGAGAACCGAACTCTAATGTCTTAATTCAAGCGAAATACTGGTTGAAATCCAAATAAAGTGCCTACAAACTTTGGAATCTAACACAGTTCCTTTAAGCGTTTTACTTTATATGGTTGTTTTTAAAGCCTAGTACAACATGCAAATGTATCTAGGCATAGTGTTTCTTCACAGACAGTAAGTATTGCTTGCAGAAACAAAATCAGTGGTAGAGAACAAACTCCGAAAAGAAGAGGTCAGATTTGGATCATCATTGGAAATTATATGATGGGGAAGATGAAAGTGGAAAAGGTAGCAGTAAGTTTTAGGTGCAATATCACTATCCAAAAGATCTCTGTGTAAATTTCAATGGAAGGTCCATGGAAGTACAAGTACTTGAGAAAAATAAAAGTGCCAATAATGCCTCTGTTTTGGTCAATTGAGAAAGCAGAGGACCATAAGAAATTTGTTATCTCCACCACCCGTTACTTCCTTGGAAGTTTGAATCCTCCAAGATTCTCCGCCCACTAGGATCATGTTAACAAAGGCTACTTCCTACTATAAATACAGCACATCTTCCTTCTTACAAACAGAAGAGAGTAACATTTGTACTTTCTTCATCTCATTACCTAAGCCCTGTGCTTAATTTTTTTTTCTTGTCAAAGAAGAGTTATGGGAGGCAACAACAGGCAGAAAAAATCCTCCTTCTCATTCTTCAGCTTGTTCAAATCGAGGAGGCCTCGCAGAGGAGATGACATGGGGGAGGATTTGAACATGAGTGCAAGAAAGGTGTGGCCTAGTGAGGAGGACAGAGGCGGGTGGGTAGCTGAGCCCGGCATCGACAACAAAGCTACTGCTTTCATTGATAGAATCCACAAGAGCATTGTCTCAGAATCTGATTGCCAAACCTTAACTGTAAACCCTGCTGGAAAGTCCTAAGAAGGAGCTATGCCTGTCTGCATTTCTTAGTGTATCATACTGTCATTTTATTCAAACAAGTTGTATCTAGTTTAGTTTGGGAATCACTATAATAAATGTCATCAAGTATTTGTTTCTGTTTATCAAAGCTTTCGTTTTCCTCTTAAGTACAGATTATGCCTACCGTCATGCTTCAATTTTTTCGTTCATTCTTATATGTTGGATTGGTTCTCAAAATTTCAAGCTAATGGGTTTTGAGTTTCCCAAAAATAAATAAGTGAACACTTTGGCATACTTTTCATGGCATCGTTATTCATGTTGGCTCCAAGAAGCAAATCAGTGTGGATGAAACATGAAATAATTATTTAGGTTAATGTACAATTTGGTACCAATGAATTATAAAATTAAGTTACTTCACCAAATCTTCCCCAAATCTGCAATCAACATTGTGGTTTAAGCAATTAAGGTTGCCTTTTGATCTTTCTCAAAAACCAAGGTTGCCTTTTGATCTGCAATCTGCAAGAATCCCATCACAGACTCTGTGTGGCATCAAATTTTAATCAATTTATGTTACAGCAGCTTGGTTTTTCAGCTTGTTAAATAAAGTATCACAATAGACGGCGGTCACCTATACGGTAGCACATCAGGAGATTTTTTGGAGGTGCAGGTGTACTAAAATCTTTTAACAGCATATAGAGTCCTTTAAATTTGTGACCCTCAATCTCAACATTCCCATCACATAGTATTCTTTCAGGTAGTTTCAGAACAACTATACAATACTAAAGTTGCTGTCCCCTCGAGCTCCTTTGGGACAAAGGACGCCCAGGCTTGAAAAATGATTCCGTACAATGGTCATATACAAGAAATGTCCCAAAAGATCTTTGGGAGAGGAATGACGAGAACCGAACTCTAGCATCTTAATTTAAGTGAGAAACTGGTTCAAATATAAAGAAAGGGCCTAAAAATTTGGAATCTAACACATTTCCATGAACCGTACAGCTAGCAGAAATAAAAGCAGCGGTAGAGAACAAAATACCAGACCAACCCTCCAAAGAGATAGGAGACAAATAATTGAGATCAATTTGAATCAGAAACATAGCATGTTATGCTCTGTCTTTAAAAAAAAAAAAAAACATAGCATGTTATGCATGTTGAGTCTTATATTAATAAATATTTTACCACTGTGGCATCGATTCAAAATTAGAATCTTATGAAACAATTGTTGCAACTTGTTTTGAATCAAAATTAGTTTCAAGTTGTGAGGGGCTTGTAGTTCAAGAGAATTTATTCATGTATTTGAAGTGTTAGTTTTGATTTCCTCCATTTTCAATATCGCTTATATTATATAAATAAAAACTAGTGTCAAGTTGGTTATTAGTTGATCAATTAATATTAAAGATGTTCAACCTGAGCCTCATTTGGTGGACTAAAAGTGAGTGAAGATTGCCACTAATTTTCATGTCGTTTAGTATTCGGGGGATTATTTCTCTACTTTTATGTCCAGGCGTGTTTTATTTTATTTTTAAATAACCTGGCCCAAACGACACCGTTTTGAACCAGGTCATACCAAAAATGAAAAAGAAAGAACGGAACTCCCCCAATGCGACTCTAAACCCACACCCCACCCCCCGAAAAAACCCCAAATCCCCAAATCCTCAGCCAAAATCTTCAAACCCTAACACCCAATCCCTACCCAACCACATGCCGCCGGGGTCCTGCCGCCGCGAACTCGACCATTAATTTTCAAAATTTCCAATCTTCAAGTAAGTCTTAAACTCAATTTTCCAATTGATGATGATTTATGTATTTAATTGAAATGGAGTTTGTGATTATTTGATTGCATGTGATTTATGATTATGAGTCATAGTTATTAGTCAGCAGAGTCTTCTTTGCATTTTTTTCAAAGTGCATTGTAGAGGATAGTTTAAAATTCTTGCATTTCAGAGTCGTTCTTAGTTAACATATACAAAGTGGAAAAAATCCCACTTCCAATTTTAGGAATTTTAGTTTCTTATAGCCTAACACAACCTCTGGTCATTAATTAGTTTTGTAGCCATCCACTGATAAATAACATCGATATCTATGACTCTCTCTCTATCACCATTGTGGACAATTGCTAGGTGAAAAGATGAATGATGAGAAGTATTGTCATTTTACTGTGTAATATGACAGTAAAATGGTAGGTGTATACCACTAGGGTTTAGGGTCCATGGTTTGTAAGACTACGTTTCGTTCCGCTAAGTACAGTTGTATGGTGGGTATACCTACCATATGTACGTATCGTTCAGTGCAAATATATGGTAGGTGTACCTGCCATATGTACATATCGTTCAGTGCAAATTGAATGGTCGTCTCATTGTTAAGATACTATAAATGGCAAATTGACATCTTGTCTATTGTTATTAACATGCATGTATATCCTTCATACATACCTAAATTAGTTATCGATAAAACTCTTTTGTACAATATGATCGTCGATTATGATTATACTAATAAAAAAATTTCTTACATGCAACCTGTCTCTCATCCTATGGATGTTTATATATATTATATAGATCATATTTCCATGGATATTAAAAAGACTAATAATACTCAAATACATCAGATTAGCCCTCGAAGAATACGAACAAACCCAACAACTACTGGTCATTAAACTTTTTATTACATAAGATTAAAGAAAGATACACAACCTCCTGTGGTTTAAGACTAAAACCATCAACACATGCAACAAATCACTTAAAAAACACCAAAGAAACAAACTCTAGATATCTCAAGGAAAAAAAGGATTGTTAGGCCAAAGACCATGATGGTATTGATCCCCAAAGGGCAGAACCTCAGCCACAGCACCAAACCCCATTTGCTCATTAGGGTTCATCATGTCTGTGAACCATGAAGGCCTCTGCATGGTGTTGCCCATGTTGCTAAGCCCGAAAGCTTGTCTCTCCATTGTTGCATGCATGTTCAGGTTCAGGGCATGGTCTCCAGCTGCAGGCACAGCTGCTGGAGTTGGTGGGACTCGGACTGGATTTCTCTGAGCCAGCTCCTCCTTCCGGGTCTTGATCTTGTCAACCAGCTCCTTCAAGTTCTGGTCAATGAGCCACCCAAGGTCGTTCAGATCAATCATGGTCAGTCCCTGCAGAGGCTTACCGGTCAGGCTCTGAAACATGACCCTCGACATCTCCTTCTCCCGATTCTCCTTCCTCAGCTTCTTCAGCTGCTCGTTGGCCTTCACAATCCTCTGCCTCAGAAAGGTCTCCTGGTTGACCATCTTTTTGCTCTGGTCCATCTCTGGCAGGCTCCTGAATTGTGAGACAATGCGTTGCACTCCCAAAGGGGATGGCCAAACTTCAGGGTGAGATTCATACTGGCTATAAATAATAACACATGCTTGAATATCACAAAGGGTGCTAAGTTCATTCGCCTTCTTCATCAAACCCTTCTTCCTTTTCTTGAATGTGGCTTTTCTAGCTGAGTCATTAGTGATGTAGGTCAGGCTGACCTTCTTTCTAGTCATGGCTGAAAGAGAAAAAATTGAGAGGAAAAACAATTGCAAACTAGGGAAGAAGAAGGAAAAGCCTTAGTAGGTTTAGTGGGTTTGCTTGCCCCAAACAGCCTGCGATATATATAGGAGCAGCAAGGGCTACCTAACCAATTCTAGAAGATTACATCCTAAATAGAAATTTATTGCTCTTACAATGCAGGAGATATGAAAATCAATATAGACCATTTTGGTATATTAGTACATTGCTAAATTTATGACGGCTTACAATGGAAGAGTCAATACAAGAAGATTTGTTGTCCATGTGTGAGGGGAATGTGGTTTTCACATAAATGGTAATTAAGATTGTTTTATAGGTAGGATAAATATGAAATCTCGGGTAGGCAATTTTATTAGCACAAATAAAGTTGTAAATATGATGCAGAAAATTTAGTACTATGAGTTGGGTGGATGCCTATGTAATATCTTCCTTTTTATTTTTTTGGAATTCATTGGACTTCTTATCCACCCTTGGTTTTATATGGAAGCTTGTCTGTTAAATTAGTATACATACATGCATTAAAACACAGATTTTGTTGTGGCTCATTCAAATCATTAAAAGATCGATATTTCTTTCTATCCTTGGTAATTATCACTTATAAGGTAATCGAGCCCATTATTGTTTAGATTTTTTTTGTTTCTCTGTCTCTTTTCTGTCGTGCATCTATTTTGTTGAGTCACGTCCTAACAATTAATATAATAAACAATATATCAATATATAAAGTAGAGAATACATTTTTTCTGCTATTAAAACTACAATTAAAATCCTTTTGGTTATTGTTAGAAGAAACACATGTTCAATTATAAAACAAAAGGAAGGATCAAGCTATAATTGATGGCCTTATAGTACGAAAGAGTTTTATTAATGAGTTACATAGATATGAAGGATATTCATATAGGTTATAAGAGTTTACGTACATAGGAACGATATACATATAGGTTATGAAGGATATTCATGTAGGTTATAAGAGTTTACGTACGTAAGAACGATATACATGTAAGTTAATAACAATAGATGATGTCAATTTGCTATAAATAGAACCTTAATAATGAGACAACCATTCAATTTATTATCCGATGCATATACTATGTACATACATAGGGTAGGTATGCCTACCATATATTTGTACCCAACGTTACGTACTTATGGTAGGTATACATATCGTAGTCTATCGTTCTCATCTTGTGGAAGTTGTTCATAAATCGTCTCTTATTACTTAAAGTATATATTCTCGTAAAGTTCATATATATAGTAACCTACTCATGAGGCACATCGTTTAATTTATTATCTGATGTGGAGACTACCTATATTGATACGAATTCGAACCCTAGACCTATCATGAATCCTGGACCATAGGTATTATTACTCAGTAAACTTAATAATAAGTTTTTTATTCATCTTTTCACCTAGCTAAAAAGAGGTTTTGTGTTAGGGCTATAAGAAATTAAAATTCCTCAAATGGGAAGTGGGATTTTTTCCACTTTTGTAGATATTAATCAAGAACAACTTTGAAATGCAAGAATCTCAAACTATTCTCTAATAAAAGAGACCTTCGAATGACTAAATACTGAGATGTACTATATCTTGACAGTTTATATTTCTAATTTTACTTTTACCTCATGTATGGCGGGCTACTTATGTGGAATGTGTATCGGAATTGCTCCACTTAAAAATTATGTGGTTCCACATTAAAATCATAAGCCAAATGTCAAAACCCATGGAATCAAACAGAGTCTATTATCATTCACTTCTCTGAAATGAAGGGTTTTGGGTTTTGCAGTTGCAGGAGAAGAGGATGAGTGACGGCCTTTGCGTATCCTTCTCACTGTGTTATTTGGTTCCTCTCCTTTAAATGCACTACTTTTCCTTTTCTTTCACTTCTATTGTGTTAACTTTTTTTTTTCTCTTTTTGGTAAAGAGGAGGGCTTCTATGGTGTTAACTTTGTTGCATTGAATCACAGTAGAATGAATTTCAACTTGATGGTATTGAATGAATATGATTTTGCTTCAAGAACTACTTATTTTTGATCGGCTTGAAATTCTTACATTGTGCTTCGTCAAATAGTCCAACCAAATTTCTTACAGTGGGAAAGCCTTTATTATATTGTGCATTGATCTGACTAGATTCCAACATTTCACATTTTGCATTAGCAGTCTATTTGTGTTTTTTCTAGTCTGTAGTTTTTATTGGATATAACTTATTTTGTTCATTGTTTGCACAACTTGATGCTTGATGAGAATTCACTAAACTATTGTTTTATCTTGCAGTTTGGGGTGCGTCAAGCATGCAACCATGCGTTCCATCTTCATTGCATCATAAAATGAGTAAATTCAGAGACTTCTCAGTCGCATTGCCCCATAGCAGGGAGTCGCAATTCAAAGGATGAGAGAAAAACTAGAATCACATTTAGGAAACTTGTTTGCTCTCTCCTTCTTCAAGTGCAGTGGTTGCCAATGCATGCTTGCAATTGTTTGATTGAATATGGTTTATATATCCCTTGTCTGTCTATTGTGTATTGGTTGATGTAAACTGTGAAGTAGCTCAAAGTTTCACTTTTTAATGATTTATTGTATTCTCTATAAACCAATTGTTTGTTTATTCGGATTGATAGGGATCTCAGTGATAATAAAAATATTTTTTTACCGGTAGTGCTTTTAAGATGTGGTATTTATGTTTTGTGGAATTTTGCACCAATTAAAATACAAGGATAAGGGGCAAATTGAAAGTATTGACTACTTTTAGCGGCGAACAAGCATATCGTCGCATTTAGTGTTTTCACCTACGGCTAGCGGCGAAATTATCCGTTGCTAAACAGATTTGTCCATAAAGACACCTAAATTTCGTCACTAAATGTCCACAAACCGTTGCTAGTCGTTGCAAAAATATAAAACCGTCATTTATTTCCAAATTAGCAACAATATGCTGATTGAATTTATCTCTCCCTGTTTCTCACTAGATTTTTATTTTTCTTCTTCTAGAATACCCAACCTTTTTAGCAAACTGCGAAAGAATAATTAGTTTCCCTTTACCACAATATAAATCTACAAAAAAATACATAGTTTTTAAAGCCTAGTACAACATGCATATCTAGCTAGGCATAGTGTTTCTCCACAGACAGTAAGTACAGCTAGCAGAAATAAAAGCAATGGTAGAGAACAAAATACCAGACCGAATCTCCAAAGTAATAGGAAACACATAAAATCAATTTGAACCAGAAACAAAGCATGTTATGCATGCTGTATGTCTATTAACAAATCTTTACCCCTGTAGCATTGAATCAAAACTAGAATCCGCTAATCAGACAACTTGGCGCAACTTGTTTTAAATCAAAATAGTTTATTAATATTAAAGATGCTGAACCTCTGCCTGATTTGGTGAACTAGGTGGTACTTCTGATTGTACTAATTTATCAGTGCTCGAGGGTACTTTTCTCTGTCCTCCACTTTTCTCTCCCTCTGAATGGCTCTCCTTCAACTAAACGTCCATATTCGAGACATAATTCTGTGAAGTTTAACTTTTCTAAGATCCCTTGTAAGTACCTTTTGATTGGTTCTTGTGCTTTGTTTGGACATTGATTGTTTAAAGTTCACAGATATTTGTCAGCAGAGCCTTCTTTACATTTTGCAAAGTGCATTGTAGAGAGTAATTTGAGATTCTTGCACTTCAAAGTTGTTCTTGATTAATATCTACAAAAGTGGAAAAAAAATCCCACTTCCCATTTGAGGAATTTTAATTTCTTATAGCCTAGCAAAAAACCTCTTGTTGGCTAGGTGAAAAGACATAAAAAAAACTTCAAGTTTACTGAGTAATAATACATATGGTCCAGGATTCATGATAGGTCTAGGGTTCGAATTCGTATCAATATAGGTAGTCTCCACATCAGATAATAAATTAAATAGTAAATTTGGTTTACACCCTTCAAATTCAATTTGTCGTATCTAAAACCCTTCACTTTTTGTTCCTATAAATAATACCCAATTTGTATAAGTAAAAACCCATGACTAGGATCCAACTCAGCAAGTTACCTAATTAAGCATAAAATCTGATTAATTGTACTTTTCAGATTCCAAAAATACCCCCAATTAAGCCATTATTGCATTTTGTATATTAATGTAGGAATCAATATGGAAACAGTTTTTAATTGGATTGTATATAATGACAGATGTTGAATTTGAAAAGATCTCCAAATGGTTATAATGGATGTAGGAATTAATTTTGAAACATTTTTAGGTAATCGGTTTGTTTAATAAAATGTTTATGTTATTTTCTTTTTATGAATTATACATGACTAATAATCCACTTTACAATTGTTTATGAATAAAACTGTACATACTAATTATGTTGAAAAAATAATGTACCTATTACTTGTTTGTTTTATGAAAAACATAATTTACCTAGTATGAAAAGTGTACATAATTATCTATTCCAAATAATGTACCTATACACATTTACAGGTATATTGTAAAATAATTTACCTGTGGGTAAATAATGTACCTATATTTTATATAAATTATTGTGTACCTATTTTTAATTATGAAAAATATACGCAATTACAAAGTAACTGACTT